GAGGCGGCGGCGCGCGGCGCGGCGATCGACGAGGAGAGCGCCGCAGCGCCGGAGAGCAGGCAGGAGAGCAGCGCTGGCCGAAGCTGCGCTGGAGCCATCCTGCAGGAGAGCAGCGCTGGCCGAAGCTGCGCTGAGGCCATCCTGCGGAAGAGGCGGCGCCGATGTTGCCGGCATGCCCCTTTTGTTGAACAATGTTGGCGCGTTGTTGTACAAGGCGGCCTTATACAGTACAATGATCGAGCGCCGCTTCGCGCTGCTCCTGGCGGCAGCCCTGTCCGTCGCGGGCGTCGACGGCGCGTGCTGGGAACACGGCCAAGACGAGTGCCCTTGCCAGTGGAACTACCAGTATGGCTACTGCAACTAGACATTCAGCGGTTTGAGCGAAGAGGAGTGCTCCGACGCGTGCGAGTGGGTCGACTCCTCGCAAAACTGCCAAACGGCGTGCTCCGAATACACGGAGGACTGGGCGTGCGACGGCAGCTACTGCTCCTGGAGCTACGAGGACGGCGTCTGCGAGACGAGCTGCAGCAGCTTGGGCGAAGACGCGTGCGACGCGGAGCCCATGTGCGAGTTCATCGACTCCTGGGACAGCTGCCAAACGGCGTGCTCCCCATTCCAAGAAGAATGGGAGTGCAGGGATGACTACTGCTCCTGGAGCTACGAGGACGGCGTCTGCGAGGCGGGCTGCGAGGCCAAGTACGGCGACGAGGACGAGTGCGGCGAGCACCCGTGTAGAAATCAAATCTTCAACCCGACTTCAATGTGGGCGTAAGTTTGGTCGGGACGTCCCAAATAAGTGGTTGATTTCCACACAGGCGAGGACGACGGGTGCGTGTGGGTGCAAGACTGGCATGAGTGTAAGGAGACTTGTGAGGGGCGCGAGGAGGAGAATTGCCATGACCAGTGTTCCTGGGACTACGACGACGAAATCTGCGAGACGAGCTGCGAGTACAGCGACGACGACGGGTGCTGGTTCGAAGGCGGGAGCTACGACGTCGACGACGACCACCGCGACTGCTTCTCCGAGGGCTTGTGTATACACCTGCGTCCCG